AGATCCTGATCTTTTCCAAGCAGACTTCAAAGTACGACACAAAATGTTGCCCATTCCTTAGGCCATTGTAACAATGCAACTTTGTTTCATTAAAAGTTCAAAATCTATTGTTTTCATTATAATCCAGCCTCGTATGTTGACTTCAAGGCTCATATCGTAACAATTCCGGCCTTTATGGGGACTGCCTTGGCCTGTTTTTTTTTTTTTTCAATTTCGCCCTGTCATATTCTATATTTTATGAAAAAAATCCGAGAACCAACATAATACACTACACAAATCCCATTACCCGCCCTCTATTGCGTTACTGATATACTGTAGAACCTGAGTTCAGCCCAGTCATTGATTCTGCAATACGATCCTGATCTTTTACTCGCTGACTTCAAAGTACGGCACAAAATGTTGCCCATTTCTTATCACCATTCGCACACATGTAGCGTTCAGAGCGGGCGGAGTACAGGAAATTGCGTATCTGAGAGCCATCAAGCCGCAGTGCTGCACAGAAAATGGAGATTTCCTCGGCAAGGTCTCTACAGGATAGTAAAAGATAATGAGTTTTCGTTGTTCAAATTGTTTGGATTCGGCTGAATTCTGCAAAGGCGGGCAGAAGAGATTTTATGATGGCATGAATTGGCGATGTCAGTGACCCTACAGGGCTCAAAATTAAAGGTGGTCCACATGACCACTAAAATTTAGGCTGGGGCAACTAGCAAGACACTTTGGGACAATAAAAAATGTCAACATTAGAATGTTGGCCCTTCATTTTTTAAAGCACACGATCCAGAAAAGTCACCCAAATGCCCTGTCTACTCTGCAATTATAGTGCGTCTGGGAGTGAACATAAAGTTGAGTTGTTGTTGTCACACATACTTGCCAAAAACAGTTGGGACAGTTTATCCGCACTTCGGGACAATTGAAATTTATTTTTGCGACAGTGCTGAGAAAATAGGAAGATTTCGAGGTAAATTTCGAGGCCTGCCTCAGATTGTGACTTGGTGTGTTGGTATGCGTGTGAACATAAGTTGAGATCATCGTAATCATCCGCACTGCGCTGGGATGGCGTCGTATGACTGCATAACTAGGCTAGAGGACACGAGATCAAGCGGTCACGGGTTCAATACCCGCTAAGGCACAGTATACGACTTTCGAAATTTCCTCACTCCACTCAGGTGAAAAATGTACCTGTCTTCGTTTTAAGAGGTAAAAGGTGGTGAAAGAAGACGGATGCGTTCAGACTTCCAAAGCCTTAACACAATGGATTAACAACCTACTGCCCTGGCTACGACCTCCAACAGGCTGATAGGCTTTGTTACCGACTTTGATAATCTGTCAGACGATATTCTAGTTCTACATTGTCCATTCGTGCATTGTCAAACCTGGATTACATCTACTGTTATATCGCACGTGATGCTTCACAAAATTAACACCGACAAATAATAATTAATGACAAATATCAAGAACAGTGAGATTAACATTGCAAATTAATGCGTGTATTTATCAAGCTGGATTACAGCTACTGTATGATAATGTAAAATGATAATTGTTGAGAACAGCCCCTGATGCTTGGCCACCTTGACCCCCCCCCCCCCCCTCTCCAGGGACCGGATGTACTTCTCTGAGCGCCGTTCTGTCTGGTGGTGACGTAACACTAACGGCTCCATGTCACCCTGTGGTGGTGAGACCGGCTCAGACCTGTCCATACCGCTTAAATCAACACTTTCCGGTCAATAACGCCGCTTGCCCCTCCGCATAAATAATGTCGATGATACGGTGTGTTTCGAGATTTTTTTAAAGTTTAGGCCACACCAATTTAATCTGTTGTTTCTTGGATTCGCCCTGTCCAAAAACAGATTTTGCGTTCAGAATTAACTACAAAATGCTCAATGAGTGACATATTTTGGTCCCAACGGTTGAAGAAAGTACTTTGTCTTCCTAGTTCCATCGTTTCATTAAAAGTTCAAAATCTATTGATTTCATTATAAATCAGCCTGGTGTGTTGACTTCATGGCTCATATTCTAACACTAACGGCTGGATGTCACCGCGAGGTGGTGAGACCGGCTCAGACCTGTCCATACCGCTTAAATAAACACTTTCCGGTCAATGACGCCGCTTGCCCTGGTGTATAAATAATGGCGATGATATGGTGTGCTGAGTTTTTTTTTAGAATAATTGAAGTCGAAAAGATTAATCAAAAAACAAAACGACCACTTTTGGTGATGATATTCTGAGTAAAGCTCATAATTTTACAATTAGTCTCAAAACTGCAAAAGGATGATCCGTAAAGTAAAAGATATTCTAAAGAATTGTCGCCAAATTTTGTTGTTATGTTTTCAATTCACGTTGCCATAGGACGATAAACCATGTATATCGATACTCCCTATTGTGCAAAACGCTTTATCTTCACCACTGTTTATCTAGGACTGAGATGTAGGTGTTCACGGCGATAAATGATGTGTCGCTTGACCTATTTTACGATGTATCTATTGATCTTGTGACGTCATGAAGTGACCTTGCCCCCTGTTGTTCTGTTTCAGGGGACAACAGATGACCTAGCTGTGACAGGCTGTCCTACGTACGGAGACAGCACAAGGAATAGCTCAAGGAACAGCAACGGAAGCAGGAACAGGATACCTGATATCAAGCATTATCCACCCGAAGAGAAGCAACTGCGATTCTGAAGCTTTCATCAACCAGTGGCTGCCACGATACTGCCGCATGATTGTTCACTGATCGGATATTCCGGCAGGCAAGATTTTCAAGATTGCCAAAGGAAGCGCCGTGCTATCTAATGGTGGATTCTACACTCAGGATAAGCGACTTATTCCCTTCGTGTAAATCCTAGGGAGGTCTCTAAGTGAATTTTGTCCAGTTGTGCAGTGGACTTCTCTACCGAGGATTGGGGCTTACTGCGGCAATCTGTAATGTCTGCAGCATCGGGAGCTACTGGACAATCTCCAGTCGTTGCTGTGAAAGGGTAAAACCTAGAATGCCATCCTTGTGCGAATCGGAATTTCTCCACTCGATACACCAAAGGGCTCCCTGGAAAACCAATAGGGGCATGGAGCCGTCAGTCGACAGGAAGGAGAGAAAAAATCGGTAACGCGGTAAAGGAAAGTATCGTACTGTCGAGGCAATATTAATTATGACGTAGTAAATCTTCCGGGAAGTTACGGTCAACAATTACGAACCTCGGTGCCGTTGTTGGATGTAGACTCGTATGTTCGATCGTTGGTCGCAATTGGATTCCCGGAGAGGAGGGTATTGGATACTAGATCGATTAAACGCAGCGTCGATATCCGACCGAGAAGCGACTGTAAATATTACACGGAACACTTGCTGCATGAGACGTAAGAGATATCGCGGCCGCCATGTTGTTTTTCTATTCTCAAGATCACACGACAGAGACAAGGTCATTGTTGATTGACTCCTAAGCGCGACCTACGGGAGAAGAGCACTTTGCCACCGCGTCGTGCCATCGCTCGGGTGGATCACTTATTTCCAGGAATTCATGAGTGAGAAACTACACGGAGATCAACAAGCTGGCCGCCAGGGGCATTGGAATCATACTCGAGGAAGTTTAAATTCCAGGAAGAATTAAATTCCAGGAAGAAGCGTTATGCTGAGGTATGGCGAGGCCATTTTCCATGATTCATAAGCCTTCTGCGCTGCATCGAGAGCAATTATTTTGAGATATCACCAAACGCCCATCCATAATAGCTACACTCATATCGATCACAATTGAATTAACATTCAAGTGTCGTTTCATTGTCAGGTGCGGAATGGATGCATAGATCAAACCACGGATGGTAAAAATAAAATCGGATCACGTAGCTTCGGGGCAAGACGACTAGAATTTTAGGTCGGTGATAAACAAAAATTGCGTGTTGAACTCTTGCGTGGGGTTAGCGTAAGGTGCTGCATCAAAGGGGAAAAGCATACCCAATTTCCACTGATACAGTATTAAGGACAGCCCCTGCGAACGCCAGACGACATTGGATTTACTCCAGAAATATAACCCTAGCTTCCTAATTATTTCCAATATAGGGCAAGCGTTGGGTCAATGGGCCGGGACGGAATTGGGCGCTGCGTCGTCAGACTGCCGCGAGCAAAATTCTCTCCACAACCTGTGGGATTTATACGTGCACCTGATGCTGCAGCGGTTCGCCTGTTACGTACGGGAAGAAACGGGCTTAGTTAGAGCTCGGGGTTCTCGTTAAGACACGGAATAAGTGGACCTACAGCTGTGACATTAAACGGGAAGGATTGGTGTTTGAAAACAACGCTGTTTGAAAAACACGGTGCGTCGCTTTAAGACCGTTTTATGCGAGAGAGGAGTGGTCTAATTCTGCAGCGTACCAACACGTAAAATTTCAGGAGACTCTGGAAGGTATTAAAGGCGTCGTTTGGCAAAATATCACCGAGAGATTGCTGCTCATCATGTATAAAAACGGACAATAACATTCGTATTCAGATGCTGTCAACCATCACGTTACATCGAAACCATCCTGCAAGTATGTTCAACATTACCATCGCTCAATAAGCTGTAGTAAATGTGTCCTTAACTCGTGTTTACTGCTCCACCTTACTCAGATTTATGCGGCCTTGTCCTAGACCCTTCAGCGGAGTAAATCGGGAGGTCATTAAGAGGAGAGAAAGGGTGATCTTCCTACGTGACTTGGTGAGTTAAAACCAACACTGCGGCGTCTGGCTGAGGGAAAATGTCCGCGTGAAACCGCACAGGCCCGCGAGGGACTGCTTAAACGGATTCCCACAACGTGTCGCAGCAATATCAGCTTCTATTAACCACCTGGAAGAACTCCAAGTTTCCGCGATACGAATTAAGGAAAAGGAAACCTCTTGGAGATAGATGGTGTTGATCTTGGAAGGCTGTTGCTTGTGCAAAAGACAACGATACTCGACGGGTAGGAGCAATATCAGCTTCAATTAACTACCTGGAGAAACTCCAAGTCTTCGTGTGATACGAATTAACAAAGGAAAAACCTGGAAAAAACTCCAAGTCTTCGCGATACGAATAACGGAATAATATAACGAAAGGATACCGCTTGGAGATAGATGGTGTTGATGTTGGAAAGCTGTTGCTTCAGTAAAAGACGCCACTCGTTGTGTCGCAGCAATATCAGCTTCTATTAACTACCTGGAAGAACTCCAAGTCTTCGCGATACGAATAACAGAATAATATAACTGATGGATACGAATTGACGAAGGAAAAACCGCTTGGAGATAGATGGTGTTGATGTTGGAAGGCTGTTGCTTCAGTAAAAGACGCCACTCAATGAGATATATCGCGGGAGGGGAGGTGGCAACAACGTGCAGGGGATGTTAAGATTGATGACGACGCACTTTCACGGATCGCCGCGAAAGGTCAGCGCGTCGAGAAGTCCGACTAAATGAGGCAATCTTTCTGCAAGTGCGAAGGCGGCGCTCTGATGGTGGACTGTTCCGTGTGCAGGGTTCTAATCGCGACCGGATAGCTATACATGTACATTATGATGGCTGCATTCATACCGCACCAAGGGAGGCGAGTCAGTCGACTCCCCTCCATCGTAGGCAGATATTCTCCTATACGGAGGCCGTTCTGCCCGACTACTGAGCAGAGAAAAGTCGCAGGGGACGAGCGGCTGGTGTTTAACGTCAGCGGGCACAAGTTCGAGGTCTGGCGTGGCGCTTTGGACGCTCATCCTGATACCTTACTCGGGAGGTTCGACGATCGGGAGAAATTCTACAATCAGGACACGAACGAGTACGACTTGTCGACGACTCCGGAGATGTTTAAGTACATCCTGAGGTTCTACACCAACGGGGTGTTGCACTTCCCCAAGTCGGACGATATCCACTTCCACACGTACTTGGAGGAGATTGAGTTCTTCGAGATCGACCCGGACGAACATATGAGCCATTGTTGCTTCGAGGATTACATAGATAGGAAGATTCAATGGGATATTGCCCACCGACCGAAGGTGGTCTTCGTTCCAGACACGCTCAGGGAGAAACTGTGGCAGATGGTAGAAAGTCCCAAGGCGAACACGTCTGCACAGGTTTTTTTCTACATCACGTGCTTCTTCATATCCTTGTCTGTGACAGCCACTGTATTGGAGACTTTAGCTTGCGAGGAGGTCGCGAAAATCGGAGACCCGTTTATAATAGCCAGGGCGAGAAATTGCAGACACGTCTTCTTCTGTATAGAAAGCGCCTGTGTGGTACTATTCACTGCTGAGTACATCATCAGACTATACGCATCACCCAACAGGTCGCTTTACGCCAGGAGCTTTATGAGCGTGGTAGACTTGGTCTCCATTTTCCCCTTCTACGTAGGGCTGTGTATAAGCGAGGAAAGCAACGTGCAAGCCGTATTCGACACTCTAAGAGTGTTCCGCGTCTTCAGGGTGTTCAAGCTCTGCCGGTCGAGTCCAGGAATGATCATGCTGGCGAAAACTCTTAAAATCAGCGCAGCCAATTTGAGCTCGCTCTGCTTCGCCCTCAGCATGATCTGTCTAGTATTTACCACTATGATGTATTACATGGAAAAGACCCACAATCCGGAAAAGTTCAGCAGCATCCCTGCGGTCTTCTGGTTTACTATAATTACCATGACTACTGTTGGATACGGGGACACAACCCCTATAGGGTTCATCGGAAAGGTTCTTACGGGAGCGTGGTCGATTATATGCGTGGTCATACTCTCCTTTCCCTTGACTATACTCGTCGATACTTTTACGGCGATTAGGGAAAGTGCCAAAGCGAGGAAAGAAAAGATGAAGCAATCTCAAGAAGAACAGACTGACGAATCAGATGATGACGACTCATAATGAGTGTAGTGTTTGAGTAGAAGATGCAGAGTTTTTTTAAAGAGAACGTAGTGGGCATACCAAAGCCTCGGTCACAACCCGCCGTGCGTGCTTTCTGTCCGTACGTTTTATTGGGAGGCCACGTCTGCTACGTTTTCCTGAAAACCCAGGGAAGGAGTGGCGTCGACGCACGTCACTCGCACGGTTGCGCAAGGTGTAAGAGTGTACATGCACTTAAAGTTCTACGGCGTGTCTGCGTGCTCCCAAATCCGTAGGATTCCGTACGGAGGCGATACTCACCACGCACGGATCCCCTACGTTTGCCGACGTTTTTGCACGTGGACAGCAAGCAGATGCACGTACGGCGGGTTGTGACCGAGACTTTACAGGCTATTATTGGAAGACTGTAGAGTTAGTGTATTATTAGCTGAAAGATGAACAATTGTAATAATGCCGGGATAACATTGACACAGTGTCTTGTATTCAGGCAACAGGCGGTCCCATCATCGTTTGCGGTGATTTCTCGATACCTACGACGCCATATTGGATGTTGTTGTTGCTCAAAGCAAAACTCCTCGTCTTAAGTTATGTTTTTACCGTGGGCTCTTTTCCATGTATGTGATAGTGGTCGATGGGTTCTAACTTATAATCGTTAAACTGTGGCCATGAATCGTGTAAAAGTCGACCTGTTGTCTGCCTGTGCCTGGTTACAAAACACTGCTTTTTACTCTAAACGAAGTCACTTCTTCACGCAGTTTTTTATTAGTCTGTAGCAACAACGTTATGCACCATTTAAAAAAAAAAACGGGATGCAACATTTGATGATGACGAGATGAAATAAAAGAACAAACTATACAATGAACGTTGTAGTGCCAGAATGGAGACTCTAGAAAAGGCTGGTGTCAGCCAACAATATTGATGCAAAATACTGTAACCACCAACATCCCCGAAAATACACTTACCATACCTCTTGTCTCAACCTCTACGGTCCACTCAGTCAGTCTGTAGCAGGCGATTTCTAACTAAATTAGTCAACTGGGTATTGAGGGTCTCTGTACACAGCCAGTACCAATTACCAAAGGTAGTACCACTTACTTGCAACGTTTTAGTTTACCCTTGCAAATTTGTCTGGTAAAGTGTATTCAAAAATCACTAGTTGGATTGAACATACCCAGGAATTCTATTACCTGAGGTAAATTATGAATAACATAACATTATGAAATTCTGTTCAAATATGTTATGATGTAACAATGGTATTCCCAAACTAGTAACCTACTGATTATGTGTGTTATTTTTTTATCTCCAAGGTTTGCCGTAAAAAAATGCCATTGGCTCTGTGTATACAGGCCAAACAAAGTAATAAACAGTTTTAGTACTCAAATTTTGCATTTCACCAGGCAGTAATGGCCGGGTATACTTCACAACGAAGACCTAGTCGTTATTGACCTGAAGATGGTAGCAAAAGGGCTGTGGGGTCGTGTGGCGTAGCGGCAAGAGGTCCCGGGTTCGAGTCCTGACATGCCACCGATCTTGTGCCCTTGGCAAAGGCACTTTACACGACTTTCCTTGTCTTGTCCTGTATTCATCCTCTGTGTTGGTGGCGGCATGAAATAAGTTGATGTAACTTGAGTGTGCTGTCACAATGTCTAGTCATAAAATGTTGGAATGTTAAAAAAAAGGACAACCAAACCGTTAACAGGTAGTTTTTACTGGTTGTGTACAGAAATCCTAACACCGACTGATTCACCGATCTGAAGATCAATACTATTGACAGATGTAAATTAGTCCTCAATACGACGTTTAGACGTCATATTTATCGATAATTGAGATAGTGATCGTTGCTTACCGATCAATCAAAGTCGTCCTAGCTTTGATTGGATCTTACCTGAACAAGATAGCCAAATATATTTTTGTGAAAGAAGCAACATCATATTATCTCTACAATGTAAGAACTACAATGTACTATCTACAAGACTCTCTATCTCTTAAACTCCCAATCAACCACGGGCACACACCCTCTGCCTTGCATCGAGCCTTCGCGGCCCATCATGCTTTGCTGTGTGACCTTTCACCTTGTGTCCACACAGATCTAGATTCAGCATTTATCGACCACGTGACGGTCTAACGCCTCTCGTTCCCAGGCTCTCGTTCCCAGACTCAGATAGTTTTGTCTATCTACGTATGTACAGATGGGTCGAGCCAAAAATTATATGCAAAGTCCATTTCCTGATTCAAGTTTACAAAGGATTGTTTTTAACAAATTTGGATATATGTGTTGTAGTTTAGATATAGATTGCGTATAATTTGCTGATGTCATAACTGGTTAGTTATTCCATTATTGGATACTGTTCAGCGCACATTGACATGAATACTTGATACTTATTTGTGTTACTTGTTTGAGTTGTTGTTCTTGGTCTTCCATGAAGTTACTGATTGTCACATTTGAAGTACGCGTGAGCTTTTCGGAAATTACTTAAATGTTCACTATTTTGTTACTCTGTAAATAAAGAAATACTGAACGTTGGAGTACGAGGTTTCTACAATGAGTCAACTTGTTTTCAATAATTGTATTTTACAAGTCCTTCTTGTGGTTTTGGATTTTATAAGATAACAACCTAAGTTGAGTTTATTTATATTCATAATTAGCATACATAGTTCTATGCAACACATACAACACACAGGACATGGAACATGCTACTGAGAAGAAAACACATTTCAAACCGTCACATCGTGTTGATGTATTTTATATACATCACATGAATTTTAGTATGTTGATCCAAGGTTTCTCGTACCTTCGTTTACTTCAATTATATCAATTATTGAACCGCATACCAATTGATATACATAGACTTTTTTCATACAAAAATCTTTTCCTTTTTAGTTACATGAAACTAAAAAGGAAGAGATTTATGTATGGAAAAACAGACGGTTTGACCATCTGAAACATCTGCTAGATGGAAGATGGTACCGTTTCCTCTGACAAGGCAGCTTCTTATTGAAAGCAATAGGAACTATCAAGAATTATTTCAATTATTAAACTAAATATCCATTGAAATGTCATAGTAGCTTACAGATTGTGCAGCACATAGATGCTACAAAAACAATTATATTGCATGAAACTAAAAAGAAAGAAATTTGGCCTTTGTGTGGTGTAGTGGTAGAGCATCCGACCCAAGTTCAATCCCTAGGGTTGGACCCAGACATCTCTGGACATACAGACATTGTGCCCTTGGGAAAGGCACTTTACACGTACCCCCCTCCCCCCCCCTCAGTAAGAGGGATTCTACCAGGGTTTGGAAGGGCATCCAGCTGAAAAATCTTCTTTAAAAAAGGCTTGCACTTGGTGCAAGCACGTCTAACCCCGGTTGTTGGAAAATGACGTTAAAACTAGATTTTGAAAAAATATGTATGAAAAAAGCCTTAAACATCTGGTAGATAACAGATGTTATCGTTTTCCTGACAAAACAGTTCTGCCCATGTTGGAGACGTATATTGATGTCTGTAATAAGACGCTGGAAACCTTCCAAGTCCCCATTAGGGTCCAGCACATGGGTGGTACAGCAACAATCTTGCATGGAACTAAAAAGGAAAACATGTATGTATAAAAAAATCTTGAACATCTGCTAGATAAAATATGTTATTGCTGTATCACACAAGGCGTTTCAACTGAATACCAGTATTCATTGACATGTCAACAGTGTTCAGCACATGGGTGCTACAGCAACAATATTGCATGACACTAAAAAGGAAAACATTTATGTATGAAAAAACTCTTAAACATCTTCTAGATAAAATATGTTACTGCTGTATCAGACAAGGCGTTTCGACTGAATATCAGTATCCATTGAAATGTCAACAGTGTGCAGGACATGGGTGCTACAGCAACAATTTTGCATGAAACTGAAAAGGAAGACACACATGCATGAAAAAATAAACTCTTCAACATCTGGTAGATAACAGACATTATCGGTTTTCTGACAAAACAGTTCAGCCCAGGTTGGAGACGTATATTGATGTCTGTAAGACGCTGGAAGCCTTCCAAGTCCCCATTAGGGTCCAGCACGCTGCATAAGGCTGGTATTGATCAAACTGTATGGCTGGCAGCACATGGTGTTCATTCATCATCTGTTGCTTTTGTCGATAGAAGGGCGTTTTTACCGTTAACGGACGTCTGAATGTCCTGATGGTAAAAGGCATCCAGTGCAGTTTTTAGGGCTTGGTAACCCGAATTTTCAAAGTCAATGTTCTTGTCACTTATCTATATACTGCGTTGAAACTACACTATCCAAATGTATATTGACCCTCATGGAGCACAGATTCCCATAATTCTGACGGAAAATGGTTACTGGAAGGGTCCTGGGCTGATTTTTAGGGTGCCACCCATAAAATAAAGGACTTATTTAGTTTTATGGCTGACAGTACATGGTGTCCATCTATCATCTGATGCTCTTGTCGATAGAAGGGCGTTTTTACCTTTAACGGATGTCTAAATGTCGTGGTGGTAAAAGGATGGGCCGAGGAAAACACTCTGTCTTTTATTATAGAGTTCTTTATTCATGCCCGAGGGCTGATAGCAAACAGACATTGACAAAAACAATGAATACAGAATGTGGTGAATTTAAAACTATAAATATGCTAACATGGAGTATACGGTATGCTCATTTAACTTACTATATCTACTTTAAAACTAACATACCGTTTGTATACAGGGTTAAGAGTGGATATGATTCACATAAGTAGGAGACATGGTAACTGATATTCTATTCTACTAATAGAAATCAGCCCAGGGCCATTCCAGTAACCAAGTTCCGCCAGACTTGTTTTTTTTTGTCTCCATAGTGTGGTTTCAACTCAGTATGTAGATAAATGGCTAGAATATTGACTTTGAAAAATCGGGTTGCCAAGCCCTAAAAACTGCACTGACTATTAACAGTCGTCAGAATGTCCAGACGCTGAACGGATGGGCAGAGGTAACGCTCTGTCTTTTATTTTTGAGAGGAAATGGATTGAAAATGAAGACGAATGGCCGGAAAGAGAGAGAAGTCAAGCCTTTAGCTGGAAGATTATGGATTGAATTGGAAAATAATTGGGTCAGTATATCATGAGTAATGTGCTTCGAGTATTTGAGATGGAA